CTAGGTCGCGCTGACGTGGGCATTCCCTGACCTGGCACCGCACTGTTCTCAGAACGGGCTACTCTGTCTTGCTTCGGGCCCCAGAACCATCACAGATCGATCCAGCCAGAAAAAATGCAGTTGAGGAAGCTTCTTGCTCTAGCGACATCGGATCCCAGCATTAGTTTCTGACACCGCGTGCACGGTTCGGTCTTTCACAGTGGCCGCCCTTCGACAAATGACTCGATGCCGGCCGAATTCGGGCAGCTGGCGGACCGGCGTTGCGTCCCGAGCTGCTCCTCCCGGCCCCGGGGCCTGGCGCCTGGCGAGGGCCAGTGAGATTCGACGCTACGAACAGAACCAGCATCGCCAGAATCACGGCCGAAGTCCCAACCCCCATCTTTCTGCTGCGTGGCTTCGAGCCGGATCGGTCCGTGAAAGCCCCACGCCCTGTGTGAGATGATTGCAACGTGTGAAACTCGGGGGTCGTCGTCGCAGGCATGCGATGTCCTGATCGTTTTAGAACCCGACCCTTTCCCCAGGGCAGCTTTCGTTTATCCCGGGCAATCCTTTGACTGCCCAGGGGCCCGGCGAGGGCCCCCTGAGGCCGAAAACGGCCAGAGACCTCCCGTCCCGATTCTTGCTCCACGACGCACTCGATGCCCATTTCCCGACTGGGACGCGGCCTCCTTCTCCTCCTCCTCCTCCTCCTCCTCCTCCTCCTCCTCCTCCTCCTCCTCCTCCTCCTCCTCTGGCCCCCTCCTCTGGCCTCCTCCTCCTCTGGCCCCCTCCTCTGGCCTCCTCCTCAGGCCTCCTCCTCAGGCCTCCTCCTCAGGCCTCCTCCTCAGGCCTCCTCCAGGCCTCCTCCTCAGGCCTCCTCCTCCTCCTCCTCCTCCTCCTCCTCCTCCTCCTCCTCCTCCTCCTCCTCCTCCTCCTCCTCCTCCTCCTCCTACTCCTACTCCTACTCCTACTCTACTCCTCCTCCTCCTCCTACTCCTTTCCTCACGACGCGAGCCTGCCTGGGAAGCCCCGGGGGCCGCCACGCTGCCTCGCGGCGCGAGGAGGCCCCGCGGCGCGCAGGGGCCGCCCGCGGCGAGTGCGCGCCGGCGGCTGGTGCGCCCGACGCTGCTGGCCGCGGGGGCGCGATGGGCCGCGCGGGGAGCTCAGGGCCCCGCCGAGAGCGAGCGGCTGCGGGCGCCGGCCTGGGCGCTGGGGGGGGGCTCCTCCGCGCGCGGGGGGGCTCTCCTCCTCCCCCTCCGCCTCCTCCTCCTCCTCCTCCTCCTCCTCCTCCTCCTCCTCCTCCTCCTCCCCTCCTCCTCCTCCTCCTCCTCCTCCTCCTCCTCCTCCTCCTCCTCCTCCTCCTCCTCCTCCTCCTCCTCCTCCTCCCCCTCCTCCTCTCCCCCTCCCCCCTCGTCCCCCTCTTCCTCCTGCCCCTTCCTCCTCCTCCTCTCCTCCTCCCTCCTTCCTCCTCCTACTCCACCTCCTCCTCCTCCTCCTCCTCCTCCTCCTCCCTCCTCCTCCTCCTCCTCCTCCTCCTCCTCCTCCTCCTCCTCCTCCTCCGCCTCCTCCTCCTCCTCCTCCTCCTCCTCCTCCTCCTCCTCCTCCTCCTCCTCCTCCTCCTCCTCCTCCTCCTCCTCCTCCTCCTCCTCCCTAAGGCCGCGCGGCCTCTCCCGGCGCTGCAGAGGTGGCTCGCGTCGGGCGTCCTCGCCCGGCTTCGCGCCCCCAGAGGGCGCCTCACGGCTCGATTTCTGGCGCGCGAGGGAGTGGCGCAGGAGAGGGCCCGGTTGTGGTGCTCTGCGGTGCTGCAACTTCTGGCAACGTCAGAGCTGAGGGCCTGCCGCTGCTGCTGCTGGGTTCTCAACAGTCAGGAGGCAGCTCCTGGGAAGCCTTCGCAAGCTCTCCCCTGCTCGATGCAGCCCGAGAAACGGGCCACTGAGCGAAATACTAGGCCGGATCCAGCTGGGCAGTACGCTGGGGATTCAGCTGGATCAAGTGGGATTAGCCGGATTAGACAGGACTGTGCTGGCCCGGCTTTCGCCAACGGATGTACCATCGCCGAAACTGAATTTCTCCCCCCAGGGGTTCCGTCCTCACCTTTTGCCTTCTGCTGCTTCTCATCCGTTTGGGGCTCGGGGATCAAGGGGGATCGAGGATGAAGCTTCCGAGGCCTCCCCGGCGGGCTCGTGACTCCAGGGGCCCCTCCATGGCGCCTGGGACGCCACCGAAAAAGGCTCGGGGTGAAAAACCGGCCTCGGGGAAGTGGTCATGACCTCTGAGGATCTACGTTGCTTTTTGTTTGTTTTTTGGGGTTCTGCTGCTCAGTTCGAGGGTCGAGAACGAGGATCGAGAATCGAACGTTCGAGGCATTTGGAGCTTGTTGGCTCCTCTTCGGTCTCCAGCCGGCTTCTCGTAGCCACGGCAGGATTACCCTCGAAGTTCTGTCCAGAACGCACGCCTTGGCAACTCTGGGGCTCCATTGATGACCCCGGGACCCTGACATCCGGCGGTCCGAAGAAATATGACGGGCCCTGCGGCAAGCAAAAGACGCCGCGGGATGAAAAGTCCGCCGAGGGATCGTGGGGAATGACACCATCAGTATTTCAGTCCTCCGAGATCTCGGAGGGCAGAAGGAGTATGCGGAGGAGGGGGAGGGGAGGAGGAGGAGGAGGAGGAGAGGAGGAGGAGGAGGAGGAGGAAGGAGGAGGAGGAGTCTAGGAGGAGAGCAGGAGGAGGCGGAGGAGGAGCAGGAGGAGGAGGAGGGGGTGGAGGGAGAGGGCTCGACAGTCACGGAACCGCACGCGTCGAAAGAAAGAGCCGCAAGATGTCTGTGTCCTGCCACCCCTCTTCCATTTGCTGCTGCACCTGCTGCTGGTCCTGCCACTCCCCCTCCTCTACCACCTCCTCCCTGTCGTCCTCCTCCTCCTCCTCCTCCTCCTTCTCCTCCTCCTCCTCCTCCTCCTCCTCCTCCTCCTCCTCCTCCTCCTCCTCCTTTTCCTCCCCCCTCCCCCTCCCCCTCCTCTTGCCTCCTCCCCCTCCCCCTGCCTCCTGCCTCGTGCATTATCGGGAAAAGGGGGGGGCGAGCTGGCCGAGGGAGTCGAGGCCGGCTCGGGCACGTGGATGAAGGTGTTTTGCTCCTGCCGGCCAGCAGCCAGCCGCCGCCGCCGCCGAAGCGGCCGCCGACGACGACGACGACGACGACGACGACGACGACGACGACGACGACGACGACGACGACGACGACGACGACGGCGAGGGCGACGGCGACGGCGACGGCGACGGCGACGGCGACGGCGACGGCGACGGTGACGGCGACGGCGACGACGACGGCGACGGCGACGGCGACGACGACGGCGGCGACAACAGCGGCAACGGGGACGACGACGGCGGCGGCGGTCGCGGCGGCGGCAACGACGACGGCGGCGGCGGCGGCGGCGATGACGACAACGGCGGCGGTGACGGCGACAACGACGCCGGCAGCGGTGACGGTAGCGCTCGGCGGCGGCACAACTGCACAAAGCCATGGCGGCAGCTTATTTACGGCTGGCGTCCGCGGGCGGGCGGGGATCCAGGCCGGCCCGGAGGGTGTCGAGCGTATGGGGGGTGAGCAACGGCATGGTCCAGATGCTCTGGGCCTCGGGGGACAGACAAAGAGAAAGAGACAGATATAGAGAGAGAGAGAGAGAGAAATTCCTCTATATATATATATATATATAGAGAGAGAGAGAGCGAGAGAGATGAAAACAGAGAAAGGAAAAGAAACAGAGAGAAAGAGAGAGAGAGAGAGAGATCCGCTGGCCCCCTTGGGAGCCAACAGGTTGCGAGGCGTAGGCTGTCGACTTCCCTGCGCCAGTTGTGCCCAAGTAGCCCGAAAAGCTGCCCTTCACCGCAACCCCTCGTCAAGTACGCCAGGTTCGCGCCCCCCACGTCACAGCCCTTTGCGGCACACATCAGACTCGCGCTCCCCAAGCCACAATCCCTGCCAAACTGGGCCACGGTCGCTCTCACCTGACCAGAATCAATGGTAGACTACACCAGATGCGCATCCTTGTTTTACTCGCATTGCCGCGCAACTGAATCAACCAGGCCACAGCGAAGGCCCCGTCAAGGTGGGGACCACCTGCGACCGAGGCTAAGGAAGGCAGGTCTTCTTAAAGAGGCACCCCCGCGACTGGGCGCCTGCCTGCCAACTCTAAATTTTCACGACGTCGGGCCCCCGTTTGGGAGCTGGCAGACTTGGGCACCCCCTTGCACTGAGCTCGGACGCTCCTGGCGTCGCCGCCCGAAGTGCGACGCGCGCCGCACAGCGCGCAGCAAATAGCCCCCCCCCCGCCCGAACGGCAATGCCAAACCTAAGACGCCCAAAAAGGTCCGACACCGGGGCAACTTCGGGCGGGGGGGGGGCGGAGGCACTGGCGCCTCTGTCCCGTCAAAAGGCGCCTACACTCTGAAAGAAGACAGGTACGTCTTATCGCGCGGAGCAATTTCATCGCTCGGCCACATCGCAAACTCAAGATCAGCCGCGTATTTCTGCCAACTCTGACGGGCTGCATGGCGCGCCTCGAGTCGCGAACATAGTTCGCGTGACCTGACCGCCCCGGCAAAAGCACGACACATCCTGCAACGGAACTCGCAGCGAGACAAAATCCAGACGTGGTCATGCCCAGCGACGCTAGCAGCGCGAGTTGCAGGGGTTGGCCTCTGAGGCCCGGGCGCAAGCCGGTCGCCCATAGCATTTTCCGGCTCCGCGCGGCGGGCCACCGCCCCAGACGAGCAACGCGCGAGAACCTTAGCCCGCGGAGACTTGTTTGCAATACTCCGCAAAACCGGCGGGAACAACAATCCCCGGCGCCCGCCCCGGCGAAAACGCCGGCCCAGGCGCCCCCCGGGACCCGAGGGAATGGCGCCCGACCCTGCGCGGGCGCATCTTCGAGCTCCACGCGCGACGGCACCAAGGCGGAGGAGGGCGGCACGCTGCCCTGCTTCTCCACGAACGCGAAAACTTACGCCGGACGACTGCGCGCCTTGCCATGGCAATGGCATTAGCGGCCGCCCACTCCGCGCCCTCGGCCATCAGGGCGGCTAGGTCTGACACGAAGAGCTCCACCTTATCGCGCAGCTGCCCGGCACTGCCAGCGGCCCATCTCTCCGCGCCGCCGACGGTCTGCCTCAGGCGCCCAGGGGCCTTCCAAAGGCTGCGCGGAGCGGGGCCCCACCGCCGGACAACCGAACAGAAGCCCGCCAACATCCACGCGGAGCGGGGCTGCTGCCCACGAAGCCAGACCCGTAAATAAAAACCCTCGCGCCCCATCGAGACCCGTCGGAACCCCGATCACCCCTGGAGTACGTCGGAGGCTCAGAGGGCGGGGGAAGAGGTCTCGGAGGCTCGGCGGGCACGACTAAAACCTCGGCAAAATGGCCCACGTCGGCTCTCCCAAAGCTAATCAGGCCTCGGTCATCGCACCTGTCGCGCCTCGCCAAAAGCTCTGCCGGCATAGCTCCTCGACCCTCGTCCTCCAGACCAGCTCGGAGCGGGCGACAACGGAAAAAGCACGTGCGAATATGTCCCTGGCCCCATCGCCAGCGGTCGCAGGTCAAAGACAGCACTAGACCGCAGCTGGCTCGTCTGTCCTTCGCCCATAGCCCTCCAGCCCATAAGGCTCTCAGGGCGCCAGCGCGGGCGGCGCGCTCCACGGCTGCCGACGGACGGCCAACGCAGAGTCTCAGGCCACAGAGCTAAATACCAGGATCTCGAGGCATATCCTCGCGGCGATCGAGCAGCCACACGCGCTGCCACCGCCGAATGCCAGCCCTGAGTCGCCCGCGGACCTGAGGAAAAATTAAAGAGCAAAGGGGGGGGGCCTGGCCTTCGTCATCTTCCAGCAGCGCGGAAGAACGCATGGCCCAATTGACCCTAGCCAACGAAACACAAACCACCGAGAGAGGCCCTGTGGCGTGGCCCCAGTCGGCCTCGCCGACTACGAACCGTTGCTCGGGGGCCCTCCAGGCCCGCTCAAGACCGCCGAGGCCGATGGCGGGCGGCACCCCAGACAGCCTGCGCATACGCGAGCACCGGCGCAATCGCGGCGTCGCAGATACGACCATAAGGAGGACCCCCATTGAGTGGCCAAGTAAGCTGCGAGCCCAGAGGCGCCTCCTTCGGCTCCAGCGAGGGCCCCCGCGGCCCGCCCGAGGGCCTGGAGCTCCCCGCCGAGGGCCCTGCTCACCGCGGCGCAATCCGCGCTCAAGGTCCCAGACCTCCAGATCACCGAAACCTCGGTGCCCATGGCTCTGCTGAGGCCCCGAACCCTGGCAACTCCCCCTTTCATCTTCGCGAACCTCACCTTGGCCCAGTGCCTGCGTCGGTCCGTGCCAAACAACTCGAGGCCCGAGTGTCTCGTGGGTGATCTGGTTTTGAATACTCAACTCCACGGCGGGAAGTTCGACGGCTCGGGCAGGCGGCCACGACACTGGACTCCTCGATCTAGAGATCCAGCTCCTAGCCTCTCGCATGCTCCACGAACTCTCCAATTTCCACGAAGGGCACACCAACTTTCGACGTGTTGCCACCTATCCACGGAATAATTACGTCGCCTACCAGCGCGCGCGGCGCCACGCTGTGGCTGGCCAACCTCCTGACCACCCAGCTCGTCAATAGCGCCAGCAGCGTGGTCGAGCGTGAGCGGCCTGCAAGAATGACCTGCGGCGCGCCGACCTGAGTGGGCCACAAGTCGAACGTTCCGAGCGCCATCGGCTGCATGCGGCATTGCAACATCATCCAGAGGACGCACATCGGGACGCCAAAAACGCCATCGTTCCTCCAGCAACGCACGCGGGTTCAAGCACTCGAAACAGCCACGCGCATCTAGGAAGGCCGGGATGGACCCCTCGCCCAGGAGGCCCCGATCTCGGCCTCAATGTTGCGCGAGAAGGCCGACGAAGATCCCCCGCCCCCCCCCCATGCCCCAGATGTCTTCGATGTCGGCCGTCGTGAGCCAGCGCCGCGAGAGCGGGGCCCTCCTGCTCGCGGCCGCGGGGCAGGCCCAAGCTAAACCCAGCGTCGAAGTCAGCGAAGCCGAACGCCGCCAGGCCTGCGCAGAAACACGTTTGCACCCATCCCAGCAAGCGCTTGAGCGCGGCCCTCGTTCTGCCTGCTCTCAAAAAGAGAGATTCCGGCTCAGCGGAGAATGCCAGCACAGCGTCGGGACCTGACAACTGGTCAGCACCATCGGACGATTGGAGCAGCTGGGGTTCTTCCTCTGCAGCACTCTTCGCAAGGAAACCAAATGCGCTGACCACCTGCCCGCGGTGATCCACGCCCGGGCTCCGTCACTCTGCTGCAGTCGGATACAGGGCGACTTCCACTGTCTAGCCACCCACTCGGCATGCAAGTCGCCTGCGCAGCCCAACCGATGATTGGGCCGCACACCTACAACGCACCATCGATCAAGCAACTCATTTCCCAACTCGGGCAATACAGCGCCCCAACCAACCTGCTGCCCTGGTCGACTGCATCGTGGATGAGTACCTGCACCCTCTGCGAATATCTTCGTGGTCGTGCGCATCCGATCGGCGGGATCGCGCCGATGGCATTGGGCCCCACTGGCGCTCGGCACAACATGGGAACGCTTTCCACCAAGAGCGGACAAATGACGGGACGATGTGGAGCCGCACCTGCCTCCTCGCCCACCTCTGGTATCCCTAGCCTGGTCACCAGATTTGCACGGACGAGTGGGGGGTCAATGGCGGTGCCCTCTTCGCCTTGCCTGCACGCGGTGGCCGCCGTACTTACAGCAACTCAACCCAGCAAATGGACCCAATCCAGTCCAAGCTCCTCCATTGACATATTGCAATCCCCCAGCACCACCCACTCCATACATAGGCAGTTGATGGTGTGGATGCAACGAAGTAGGGTGCTCAAAATGGGTACGTTCTTTGGTTTGTATCCCACACTCGTGGTGGCCCCGGGCATTGCGGGTAGTTTTCGCCTATTGTCTTGGGACCGAACCCCGGTTGCCTTGGGGGGCGCATCCCGCTATGCAGGGTACGTCGTGCCAAATTCGGCATAGCTGTAGGACCCCGCGCGGGCTGGCTATCTCGTTTTTCGGTCTCGGGGAAACCCTCGGGGCGAGCAGCGTTTTTTGAAGTGGAATGGCAGTGCGGCGTCCGATCCGATCCTATATATATATATATATATACACACACACCTATACGACCACCTTTCGGGTGATAAGGAGGTTCGGGGGGAAGGGAACCAACGTCTCACTCGATCGGTATCATTATCGATATTACCATCCATCTCACGATCGGTCTCGCTCGATCGATATCACTCGATCGATCTCACAATCGGTATGACTCCATCTATTTCATTCGATCGATATCACAATCGATATGACGATCGATCCCACAATCGATCTCACTATACATACCACGAGCAATGTCACAATATATATATATATATATACATATATATATATATATATCACAACCTACCTCACATCATCATCACCATCGAGACATCAGCATCATCAGCACCATCATCACCATCAACATCATCATCGGGACACCATCATCATCCTCACCATCATCACCATCACCATCACCAGCATCAGCATCATCATCAGCATCAGCATCAGCATCAGCATCAGCATCAGCTCAGCATCATCATCATCATCATCAGCATCATCATCATCATCATCATCATCATCATCATCATCATCATCATCATCATCATCATCATCATCATCATCATCATCGGGGCACCATCAGCAGCATCATCAACATCAGCATCATCGTCATCGGGCCGCCACCATCAAAATCACCATCATCATCACCTCATCATCAACATCATCATCATCCGCACCATCGGTGTGAAACAGGTGAGCATAATTTGTGTCTCAGGTTTTGCATATAGTGTGCGTGTCATGATCTCACGCGTCATGAGATCAGACAGCGGGTTGTTCACCCAATGTTTGCCCCTGCGCTGTGTGGCTCAAGGGAAAAACATTTACTGCGCTTGCTGCTGCCACAGTTGGTAGCGGAGCCTGGTTCCAGGCTGGCGGGCCAATGGGCGGCGAGGGACAGCAGCTCTGAGGGCTGCGCCCGGAGGCCGCTCTCGCGCTCCCGGCCAGGGCCAGGCTCGCGCCGCCCGGGCGGCGCGGCCGCGGAGATGCCCGCGGAGGAGGACGACGGATTCGCTGGCGCGACTTTCGACCCAGCCCGCCCCAGCGGGCAGGCATCGGCGGAGGCGACGCCGGCGGCAGGCAACATCGTGACGATTTCCATGGACCAGCTCCGAGAGATCGTGGCCGGCACTGTACGTGAGACCATGGGCGCTGCAAGACCGTCCGGCACAGCTGCCGAGACGGCTGGCGCGGCCGGCTCTTCCTCTCGGAAGACAGCAACAGACGGTGATGATATCGACGGGAGGCCGAAGGATCCTTGGTGGGAGGCAGCAGCAACATCGGATCCCTGGAGCTCCGGCAAGGACCCGTCGCAGTCCTGGCGCAAGCCAGGCGACAAGGACGACAAGTGGCAGGACGATGGCTGGAAGAACTCCGGCCAGAGTGACAAGTGGCAGGACGGCTGGTGGGCGAACTCCAGCTCCAGCTGGGGAAAGGGGGACTACTCCGACCCACCAGCGTGGCCCGGATGGGCTCAGTATAGACCCTGGCGCCGTGCACTACGACGCTGGAACACGAACACGGACGTTCCCCACTGGCGGCGGGGAGAAAAGTTCTTGAAGCTCTTCGACTACGCCATGCAGGCTAAGTTCGACGACATCCCGGAGGCCCAGATCACGGGCCGCGACTGGATCGATGTGGTGTTGGGCCGTATGGACTTGATGATAGGTGAACGCGAGGAAGACGAACTTCGGCGGGCAGGCCGCCGAGCTCTGTTCGAGGCGTCTCGTGAGAACAAAGAGACGCTCATTCAGTACGTGAGTCGTCGTGAAGCTCAATTTCAAGAGGCCGAGACGAACGACCTCTGGATCTCCTCCAAGATGAAGGGGCTCATGCTGGAGGAAGGAGCCAATCTCACGGCCCAAGGCATGCAGAATCTCAGAACGCTCACTCGAGGGAAGCTCGAGTACGGCGACGTGAGCTGGGCCCTGAGGCAAATGGATGCATCAGGTTCTGAGCGGCTCCTGCCAGGTAGGGTGTCAAGCAATTACGCCGAGGGCGA